CTCTCTTCCCCAACAAATAAACCCCTATAGGGAGTGAGTTGGATTATCCAAAATATTTTTAAAGGATTTTCGCCGATGTATCCCAAGTATGCAAACGACTGTCAGAGACACCATATAAAAACCTCTTCACGATCACATCCCGTCGAACCATACGTCAGTCAGGAGCCGCCAGCCAAGAGAAAAAATAGTAAGAAGAGAAATGGGAGGGTACCTTGGTGATGAGAGCTATGCAAAGATGGGTGATCGAGCAGGTGAAGAAGAGCGAACATGCCAGGAGGGGAAGACTTGCATTAAAGAGACTGGTTGGGTTATATGAAGCACAGAGTATAACAAACAAAAAAACCTGTTGTGTCAGATTGGTGAATGTGTTCTGATGATATGCTCAACAATCATCTCCAAAAAGAGGGCAGGGAGACTTTACGAGTGTTTGAAGGTCCAAAGATCTTGCAACTCTGGGGCCGGAATGGCCTGGACCGAAGGGACGCTCAACGCGTTAGTCTTGTTATCGAACTCAGACATCCTCCGACGCTCGACAGCGGAATCCAGAACAAACGTGCGGGACGAATTTCTTCGAGGAATTTGGGCGGTTTCTGATATGAGTTATTATGGGGAGAGTCCAGACTGTTCCAGTCAAGGGATAACTTTTTTTTTTGGAATCAGTAGGGGAAGAAGGAGAGGGGCAGGCGAAGGGAGGGAGGGAGAGGGAGAGAGGAAGATCTGAGTCGGGAGTCCAAGGACAGAGTCCATTGAGAGAGGGGTAAAATATTAATGTAGTGTATGTGCTAGACTCTAGTGCTGATGTGCTCAGTCGATCTGAGACCAATGCTCGACAGCGCCTCAGCTCTTAACGAAACAAGCAAGACAGTCTTTCCTCACAGAAGACACACTGGCCCATCCCATGTGTTTTTTTTATCCCCTCCCTTCTGCGGGTGTGTGTGTTTGGGGGGAGGCCATCTGAAGGTGTACCGCCAACATTGGCTCTATGTAACGCTTTTTCATGATCAAGTGCTCACAATGGGGCTTTTTTTGGTCAGGCTTATATCAGTTAGTGGTCGATTTCCAGCGGTTGTTTTCAAGGAGGTGTTGCAGCGTCCTACTACTATTTGAATACTCTTGAACACTCCTTTTTTTTGGTCGATCTCCCTCAATGACTTCACTCTCAACATCAGCTCTCCTCCAGTTTTTTTTTTTTTTTTCGCTTGCCTCGTCGGGAACAACCGATCCTTCATTAAATGACTTTTTTTTAAGAGCCCACACAAAACAACCCCCTTGGCCGACAAGAAGGAAGACGATAGAAAAAGAGTACATGGAGAAGCAGAGCCTCATTCATACTACATAGTGTCCCCGCGGGCTGTTCTATTGTTCCATAAAACTGGTTGTTTTCCTCATCACCGGACGACGACCCTCAAAAACTGACCAGAATCAATACATAACAATAATGAATCCATAGAATACATGTGATCTGCTGAACAGGTAGGAATGCATCAGTGGAACCGTTCGACTTGCCTATGGCTTGGTCCCGATCACACAAACGTGCTGAGATTCGAACACGATCGAAAACAGGCGAGATAGCCGAGAATGCTGTGAATTGATTGGGAGGATGGAAACAAGCATTCATACAGGGCTGAGATGGGTTGGTCGGTGTGATTGCTAGCGGATTTTGTGAGTTGGGATTGTGTGTAGAAGAAATAAGGAAGTTGGATGAAATCCCATATAACCTCTCCTTCTACGTATCCACACAATCAATTCTTGGCGATGGATTTATTTACTTTTCTCTCGAAACTCGACGAGTCACGAGTAAAGAGAGTGAAGAAAACATTGGTTATAGAGTTCCTCAGAAATCCCTGAGAAAAGTCAAGAAATAGCATCGACAACACAAAGCATTTCATGACGAGATTTTTGAAGATGCATACTTAGGATTCCATTGTAAGCTGATGAACTCCCAACCTCCAGTGTTTCTCATCATCACATCGAAGCTATTATCCTTATGTGGATTGGTGGCTTTGTAATTAACCATAAGATCATATGTAGGGTTGGAGTGATCAAATACCCCTTGCTTGCACATATGTTAGCCAATTTTTCGAAGGTCTGGTTCAGACAAACAGCAATATATACACTCAACCCCCTCTCTTATGGTGTTTATACATAGTGCCAAGGACAAATGGTGCTTCAGCTAGCACACAAAACAGGACAATTGAATGTTTAGGTATGACTGTAGGCCGATCATTTCTGCCAAAAGGATGGCTCGGGGAGACGAAACCGTTTTCCCTCGGCCGTTTCTGCCCCGCCTTCGGGATCATCCTCCACCACATAATCCAGCTCGGCCGTCCTGGTCTTGATCCGTTTCCATCGGTTCCGTTCGGCCATCACCCCCGGCCGTCTCCTCCTGGCCGCTTCGATCTTGTCTAATAGCTCTCGACTGTATACTTTCTGTTGAATCCCGAAAGAGATAAATTGTAGTCAGATTGCTGGCGAATCGAATCTCCTTTTGAAAGCCAGTCAACAGGAATTCTCACCCTCTCTCGCTCTTTGTCAAGCGTAAAACTGTGACTGATGTCGTTTAATCGATCCAATATACCTTTGACTAAAAATCCAAAGTCGAAGGATGAAATGATCGGTTTGTGGAACAAAAGTTGATGAGAGAAGGCGGAGGACTAAGCTAGCGCACCTTCTCTATTATGTTCCTGATCGAAGACGTGGGCTTGATCATGGGCAATAATGGCCGAATCGAACTGATGCTCCTGTCGGACGGTGTCTAGTTTGTCCTTTAGATGCCGATGTTCGGCAACCCTCCGTTCACGTTTTTTGCGACGAGAGCTCATCATCATGCTAATCTTTGATGAGAAAAAAAAAGGAACATAACTTGAGTGGCTGGGTAGAGAATCTCCCAAGATCGGGCGTCTTACATGTAATGGTTGATGGGCTAGTCGTGGTAAGGGACCATTGAGAACAGACGGTCTTAAGAATCGGCCGGTCATGATCGGAGTACGAGGGCGTTGGGCATTCTTGGGATTTCGATCCAAGGTTGGGTACGAATGAGTTGATTGATTGATAAGAATGATCAAGATGGGAGTCTAAACTGACGAGTTGGGCCTTGTACGTTTTCCCCCAAATCTTCCGATATCTAGATTGAACCAAATCGTGTCTGTACGATTTGAGCTCGTTCAAATCGTCCAGATCCCCGAATTTCGCATTGACCAATTTCGTCAATAGCTGTGCTTTTAGGCGCGTATGTGGGGATGGAAATCGTTCAGAAGGAGTGCCGAGCTGAGTTTTTATACGGAAATGCTCACCAGATATCCTTGTCTAAGCACTTCTTGGGTATGAGGGATTGTCCTGAGTGTTTTGTAGCGCTTGAATTCGGATCTGATCTGATTGGTGAGGACGGGTGTGGATGAGAAGGTGGCCGATTTAGGTTGTGGGTTGGCAGATTTGGATATGAGTTGATTGTCGAACCAGGATGAATGTTTGAGCAGGTGACGATAGAGGGACCATCTGGTGGGTGTTCGATGCTCGGATGATCGCCACCAGTGTCTGGGACGGTTCACTTGGGTCCTCTGGAATTCTCGGGGTCGGTTCTGGATGATGGTATAGACCTGGGATAGGAACCGGGTTGTCTCCGGTGGGATGTCGGTGGGCTTGATGGAGCTCTTGAGCGGCGTGAGTTTGCGTGGTCCGAAGTGGGGGAGGATGAATTTGGATGTTGTTGCAGTCGTCGTCGTGCTCATGTTTGATGGCCAGGGTGTTTGTTGATGCGCATTGAGCTCGATGAGGATGGTCATCAGGCTGAGTGTATGCGTCTGCACCGCCCAACCGCGTCGTCCAGTCGCGCAACTCAGCTGGAAGCACTCCGCAGTCACTGCGCAGGGCCCAGCACATCGGATACAAAAACCACTCCTCCACTCTCCATCCAACCAACCACCCCACAAACATCCAACCAACACCAAACAAACCACTCCATCTCATCCAGATAACACACACTCACACACCCATATATCAATCAATCAATCAATCATGATGTCTCTCTCCGAACCAGAGCTCAAGAACCTCAGCCTTGACTCCAAGCCAGCTGAACCCACTAATCATATCAGTAGCTGCTCCTCTATCGACCGAACCAGATTCGTCGGTAACCTCAACATCACCTCCGACGACCAAGAACCACTGCTCAAGGAAGACGGTCATCGTTTCGTACTCTTCCCAATCAAGTATCACGAGGTCCGTCGATCTCCTACCCCTCCATATAGGCCCCATCACACTTACTGATCCGAGCGCGTCCTACAGATCTGGGCATCATACAAACGCGCCGAGGCTTCCTTCTGGACTGCCGAGGAGATCGACCTGTCCAAGGATATGCACGACTGGGACAATAAACTGAACGCAGACGAGAAGCACTTCATCAAACACGTCCTCGCCTTCTTCGCCGCCTCCGATGGGATCGTCAACGAGAACCTGATCGAGAGGTTCAGTGGCGAGGTTCAAGTGGCCGAAGCACGTTGCTTCTACGGATTCCAGATCATGATGTCTGTTGAACCCTCCCTCAAATCCCTATCCTTTCCCCGCGCTGACCTCCCTAGTCCTACTTCAACAGGGAAAACATTCATTCTGAGGTCTACTCCTTATTAATCGATACCTACGTCCGAGAGCCCACTGAGCGGGCTCACCTGTTTGATGCTATCGATACCATCCCTTGCATCCGCAAGAAGGCAGACTGGGCTCTCACCTGGATCTCTGACAAGAAATCAACATTCGGCGAACGACTGATCGCGTTTGCCGCCGTCGAGGGGATCTTTTTCTCAGGTCGGTAACATCCTCCTTCTGAATTCTTACTACTCTTCACGCGACGAACACAACCACTAACTCGGCTTGTGATACTCAGGATCATTTGCATCAATCTTTTGGCTCAAGAAACGCGGTCTGATGCCCGGATTGACCTTCTCCAACGAACTGATCTCCCGAGACGAAGGACTGCATACGGATTTCGCATGTCTCCTTTTCACTCACCTCGAACGTCGCCCTCACCCAGATACCGTCCAAGCTATCATTGCCCAGGCTGTCGAGATCGAGAAAGAGTTCCTCTCTGACGCTCTTCCCTGCAAGCTCATCGGCATGAATGCCGACTTGATGTGCCAGTAAGTCTATCATTACCACTGGTCTTTGGTCTTTTTTTGTTACTCACTGTACTTGTTCTTTTGTTCAGGTATATTGAATTTGTTGCTGACCGACTTCTCGTTGCATTGGGCAATGAGAAATTTTACAATGCAACAAATCCGTTTGACTTGTAAGCTTCACTCTTGTTGACGATTCTGCACTCGAGTAAATGAGTTCATCCATGAAACTCACATTCTGACGAACCTCATTCTCCTTTTGATACAAACAGTATGGAGATGATTTCCTTATCAGGGAAGACGAACTTCTTTGAGAAACGGGTGTCGGATTATGCCAAGGCGGGAGTGATGACTCGATCGAGGGGCGAAGACGGAGCAGAGGCGAAGGAAGCCGGTGGGGGCGGCATGTTTTCATTAGACGAAGACTTTTAAAACCAAGCGACCGCCCAACCTCTGCCTCGACGCTTGATGGGTGACCTCCTTGTTTAGCACCGGTGTACTGTTGACCTCGCTTGCTCCTCTAAACGTAAATCCCCACTCACTCACACATTCTCTCTCGTTCATGTTCTTGGAGTAAACTATACACCCACACAATTCATTCATCCACTCCATCTTTTCGTTATATTTGTGTCCATGGTTACCTCCCCATAAGTTCATTGTCAGCCTACCCCTGCTTTTTCTTTCCTACGTCTATCCATCCATCCACCTACATACATACAAACAAACAAACCAATGTAAATATAAATTGTTTAACATTTTCTTAAGCCCTCTTTTTGTTTAGTTATGTTCTTTTTTTGGTTTTGTCCTTGGGAAATTTCAACGAAGTGTTTGTATAACTTGATTTGCATGTGCACACATATATCATATTGAGTGGTTGGTTTTTGTTGGTTTGTTGTTGTGGGTGCCTGAGTTATGACAGCCAGGGTCATGCCATAACGGTAGAAAACAGATGATTCTTCCTGTCATCTTAATTGTTCAGATGTCAGTCTTGACTCAACTACTTGGGAGCATGCATTCTGCTTTGGAAGATGTCTCGGCGTAATTCCCTCTCGCAGAATATTTGAAAAAACCCCTGAACTTTGACTGCCTGTTTTTGTCTCATCGCCTGTTGTGGATGAGTGGAGTTTGATAGACTCAAAATGAGCTGTTATTCTGATTGGAAAGCTCCGCTGCTCCTGTCTTCGATCGACAGCAGCTCTTGGGCAGGATGCCACTGACGCATCATGGCTCTCTGATCGCCTTGATCCAAGGCTCTTTCTTGTTCCAGTGTTGAGACCCCTGGAAGAGGGAGGCTCGATCGTGTAAATTCTTCGGCCGATGTAAATGGATAGACTGACAGCCCAAAAGGATAGCCTCGTCCCTCCTGGAAACAGTTGGGCTTTTACAGTAAAAAAGGATTGATGCCACTGCGCCGTTCTGTAAAGTAATCAATCTTTGTTGCATTGTTGGAATGGTTATGTGTGGGGTGATCATATTATGAGATACATACAGTTCTTCTTGCTCTCTTTGCTGGTCGCGCCGAGGCTGTGCTGTAAGTTGAAGGCGGTAGCACCACGGCCACCACCACACCACTGGCCTCGAATAATCAGATTAACCAACCACTTTCGGGAAAATTTCTACCCGTTCATCAGATTAATTCATTACCAACCAATACCGATTAACGAAGAGCTGAATCTCTGGAAACTACATCGATATTTGAATCGTAGGTCATCGAGTTCCGTCATCAGCTCACTTGAACTTTGAACTTGCAGCTAATTGACCATCTTGACCATCGGATCCACAGCGCGCTTTTGTTGATCACTATCCAGGGAATTAACGCATGGTCGGATCGAATGTTTCTATAAAACCCTATCGATCACAAACACCTCCCATCGACGACTATGTCTTCGGAACCATCACTCTCAGGAAATCACAATCAAACAAAGATCTCCAGCTCTTTCGGGCCTTTCAGGCGCTCTCTTGCCTTCAGCCTCACCCTCGCCGTCATCTTGACCAGCTTGTTCTACCTCCTCGCCCCCAAGTTGATACGTAAATACGCTCGGAGGTTCAAAATCGGACAGATTGGGTTTCTGAGCTTGAAAGATTTGGAATGGACAAGCAGTCATCAGAACATCTCAACCAAGCACCAGGATGGCTTCACTACCGATGAAGATCAATCTGATCAGAATGAAGGCGTCAAGATAACCGTCAAATCGATCGGCTTAAGGCTGGGTAGCAACGAAGGCTCTAGGCGCCAGTGGATCGCATTAAGGATAGACTCTCCACGCATCAGGATACCTAAGCGACGCACACGATCAAATTCATTCGATTCTTCCTCAGATTCATCCGAACCCGAATTCTCCGCTGCCGAAACCAGCTATCGATATGGACGCTCACGTAAAATATCTGGTGCTAGCTCCACGTCCCAGCTATCTGGTTTGTCGAAATCTGATGCCCCGCCGCTCCAGTTCCTCAAAACTCTATCGCACAAGTCCAAGCAGGCCACATCATCCATCCTCCGCCATCTACCAGCTCAGGCTCATCCAATTCTTCGCTTTCTGCGCAAACTCTTGCGTCTCGCTCGTCTCGAAATCGTCCGACCCCTCCTCAACAAACTCAACCGATTCGGACGCCGACTTTCGTGGATCATCAGCGTGTTTGGTGTGGAAGTGAACAATATTGAAGTCGACGTCAGTAAGATCTGTCGGGTAACATGTACCATCAAGACGGGTCTTCAACTTTCTAGAGGCGATAACGGCAAAATCTGCTGCTGGATTGTAGTCAAAAAGCTCCAAATTCATAAGCTCACTACCGTCGATGACACTGACCCTTCGGAAGAAGATATCAAGCGTGATCAAGCAGCCCAAGATACTACAGCCGCCTTCAGCTTTCCGGGCTGCATCGAGATCTCTGCCAGTGCTGGATTGGATCCAGTGATTGGATTAGCCAGTATATGGGCGGGTTCAAAAGCTGCCGGATACACTCGAAGGTTCCCTTCCAGCCCGTATCAGAATTACCCTTCAAACATGCCGAATGGATCTTGGAAGCGATATATACGGCCCCGATCAGTCAATGTAACTCTCAAGATTTCAGAAGATTTGCAAGCATCAAGACGAACATCGAAAAAAACAAGCTTGTCTCCCAATCTCAAAGCCTCGAGTGCCTTTATTTCAATCGAGAACGCGCTAGCGATCACACGCGCCCTCCCAAATCGGACCAAAACGAACGAGTCAAATGGTCCATCTATTTCCATCCTCAGCGACGAGCCCATGTTCTCTGGCTCAAACTTCTCTCATTTGGAGGACTCCCAACAATCTCCAAGCAAGGTTTTCTCCACTCTCTCAATTATACGCCAATTCCAAATCTCACTACCTTCCCTACACTGTTATTACATCCTAGCCGGTCCTATTTCCACCCCTATCTCAACATCCACTTCTTCACCTGGAACACCGGCCACACAGAATAAGAAGATCGCAATCGATTTACAGATCACGAGATTTATCATGAATTTGGATTTGAGTGCTGAAAAGACGGGAAAAGAAGCCGCTCGATCCGATCGAAATCTTACCACTCACATGGAGTGGTTTGGTCGCGGCACTCCGATTCCCTTCAGACTTAATTCGCAATGGAAAGATATTAGTATCAACGCCACTTTAGTCCCGGAATCTGAAAGATCTTCAGAGCTTATTCCCAGCGGACCCAGTTGAGTTTACGTTCCATTTATTCTACAATCTTGCAGATGATGCCAATCTAATCAGAATTTTTTTTTTCTCCCGTTCTCGTTATCCCTTTTTTTGTAGCACAACTATTGCGAATGTCAGAAGTATCTTTTGTTTTGAGCTCGTCATGGGCTCCGCGCACGTTGCGCGAGAAGATTGAATCCGAGAATTTTTCTTCGCATGCTTCTCAACTCAGCCTCAATGGGGATCACAACAGTCACATGATAGTTGCAGAATTTGAGATTGGGAAAATAAGAGGACAGATGCCCATCGATAATTTACTGATCATGCATATGTTATCACAAAGTCATCCATCAGGCTCATCTAAACTCAAAGCTGTCCCGCCTTCAAATTCTCAAAACAATCACAGACCCCGAAACAACCGCCGGGAGGATACGCCCAAATTTGTCTTTGGATTGTCAATCCAGTCCATGTCATATGACTTCTATGGTCCCCCGTGCCCACCCACTACCCCCTCGTCGTCGTCTTTAGGGCCTACATTCAATCCAATCAACAATATTGGTAATTCATCGAGGGGTAACGTATTATCGATTGGATGCTCGTCTTTCCACTTTAACTCGGCCGGGGAATACGTGGATTTAGTTGTAAAGCGGTCTGAGGCCACCAGACGGATTGCCAGGACCAGGGCTCGAAAGAATGAAGTGTACATTCCACCAACCCTCCGAGGCATCAGGATTAGCCAGGCACACGAGGATTCCATTTTGTCCGAGAAGCGCCCCGTTGATGCCGACTCTGCCTCGACCTGTCGCGAGGCCGATAGCACTTCCATAAAACTTTCCGACGAATCATTTGACAATCTACGCGACGTCGGGCCGCACCCGCAAGCCTATCCTCTACCCAATCCTTCCCATTCATCCACTCAATGGAAGTCACAAGTCGATGTGTTTCGGGAAAAAAGCTCGGTAGATTTTTTCTATCGACTTTCTTTCACTTGGCAAACTCACTCTATCGATGTTGTCTTCCAAGACGATCAGCTCAAGTTGGACAAATCTCGCCATCCCTTCGCGTCTTTTGATCTGCCTTCGCGAATGTCATCATCTGGTCCATATGACTTTTTCAGCTTGAAGACGATCGAAGTAACCTCCGAATTCTGCTTTGCCGGGCGGAACATTGTTTGGTCAGTCTTTATCTTTCCTTAAGCTTGACCCACCTCCTTATTTCGGTTTGCTTATTTCAATTATTGGGTTTGTTTTCGTCATGCCTCAGCTTTGACAGGAAACCCGTACCTACGATCGATCTCACTCTCCGGGAAGGCACTGTACAGACATTCATTGAAGAGGTTTCTTTTGACCTGTGGCGACCCAATGTTTTGGCGAACCTTGTGGCTTTTACTCAAACTTTCCAAAAATTTCGTCGGCAGTCTCATCCTCCCGAAACCAAGAATGAAAGTGATCCAGATAGCGCTTCAGTACCCCGTACGGTTCCTATTCCCCGGGATATTGCCTTTGCAATAGCAGCATCAAGACTCAGTCTCCGCGTTGCTGGGTTTGACCCCAAACGTGACTCAACAATAGCACGCGGTACCCAGCTAGTCGTTTCCAATGCACTTATCGAGTGTTTCCGTCAGTCCAACGCCCAACCCGGCCTTTATGGCTCACCCCATCGATCACGGCTTGATCTTCAAGAAGACATCCGCGTCCAAGCCAACGCTCAACTTGTACATAATCCTGAGTTTGAAAGCTGCCTGTTGAAATGTGCAATGAAGAAGATTGAAATGTTTGCATTGCCTGATTTGACTGGCTCCTTACACTCGAACCGCTTCTCTAGATTTGAGTCACCTAGCCATCAACGAATGTTTCATTATCGTTCACCTTCACTGTGGGATGACAAGGCTCGGTTCGGATTTCGAAACCATCACGATCCTCAATCACCGGTCGACTCTACCCTCCACGAACCACAGGATATCCTTTCCGAGAACAAAGAGGTTTCGATCCTTGAAGTGAATCGCCTTGCCTGCCGCACTACCTTACAAATTTTGAAGCAGGCAAAGAGAGGGGAAGACGAACTTATTCTAGCGGTTGAAACCGGCTTGATAACCTTTCACATTGATGCCTTCCATATCTACTGTGCCTTGATGAGCATCTCCACTCTGTTAAACCTCGCCAAAAAAGTCTCAAGCAACAGCCCTGAAAGCGCCAAGCGTTCCGCCAAGAGCTCGACTCGACTACCTATAGGAATTCGTGCAGAAATATCTAAGATCCATTTCCACATGTTTTTGTCCCATCAGGTTCCAATATTCATCGAAATACGAAGAGTGTCTTTTCAAAAATCGTCCAAGTTAGGCTTCGATGCGCGTTGGGACATCTTGTTATTAGCGGGCCGTAGTGTGACTTCACCAGGACGATGGGATGACCTTCTGAAAGTCAAGACATGTAAGGTTAAATTAGTCCAGATCAATCCGTCTAATTCTCCTTCAGACCCAGCACTAGTCAATAGAGGTTGGCATCCATTTATCGTGCTGATTGAAGGCGATGCGGCCCGGCTCAGGATTCCTTTCAAGTTTGTTATCGCTGAAGTGATCGAAAACGTCTCCCTACTCGTCAAGACTACTAAACAGCTGATCTACCAATTCATTCATGGGGGTACCGGATCGGTCTTGCAACCCGAAGTCGAAGCTCCCAAACGATTGCCGGAAATTCGGATCAAGTTTCGGATAGTGTGTGTACAAGCTGAAGATGACCCGTTTGAAAACAAGTTGAATGCGATTCGTCGAGCCGGAAAAGAAGAGGTCAAAGATCGACTGGCACGAGATGAAAGCTTTGAACAAAAGGTTCAAGGAATGAATGGGCCAAAGAATTACCCACCTACGAAGGAAACCAAGCCTCGTCAAAGCTGGGAAAGCCATCGTCATTCTGAACGGGGTAGCACAGATTCTCCCCGAAATGATGATAGCTCTTCATTCGACTCGTCGTCGTATCTCGGTCGAACTGGAACCCAGTCTCCGCACGTTTCGATCGCACAGGCAGCACAGCGTCTGAATGAATACAATGGAGCCGCTTGGATCAAGCGAATCCGTAATGCCCTTGCCGAACAAGAACGACAGGAAGATGCAATTCAGAGGCAGTTGTACGGCCATACTGCCACCAAACTGACCGATGTGATGCCGGTCCCTATGCTTCCAGTCACGAAAGCAACACCACTGGTTCGGGTCGTGTTTAACTCTATCCGGATTGCTCTATACAAAGCAGACTTCGAAAAGGATGAGAACGGCCTCATGAATTACTTGCACGAAGTAGGCAAAGGCTTGCCCAAAGAAACTAAGTTCTCGTTGATAGTCCCGATGCATATCAGTTGGCAGATGGAGGGCGCGACGATGCGGTTACGAGACTTCCCCCTTTACCTTTTTTCTTTGCCTCGACCTCAAGCTCAAAATGGTCATCAACAAGAGCGCGAGTTGTCTCAATACACCTGGCAATTTGAAAGCGATTTCGTCCTTGCAGAGGAAATGTGCGGGGTGGAATCTATCCGTGCGGTCCAGAGTGTGGTTATCCCGTCACATCATTCCAGCGACGGTAGCGTCTACACACTCGATATTCCAAAGTCAGTCATGCCTGTCAAAAGTTACGCCGACCCATTTATCAAGATCAAATCCACCGCGCCAGTCCAGCTTGGATGGGGAAATTCAATGCAACCGACCGTACAAGATATGATGAGGGTCTTGGATAGCATTTCTAAACCACCAGTAGATCTTTCTGAACGAGTAGGGTTTTGGGATAAGGTTAGATTGGTCTTGCACTGGAAAGTTGACGTTAGTTTCGCGGGTAGTAAGGCCGATGTAGTTTTGCACCTCAAAGGTTCCAGGGATCCTTATGAGCTACTCGGCAGCGGCGCAGGTTTTGCTAAAGTTTGGCGCGGCAATGTCAAGATCTTGTTAGGGCATCAGAACGACGAGCAAGAGTTCTTGCAGATCAAGAGCGACCAATTCATCATCGGAATCCCCAACCTGAAAGATCACATCAATAATGCCGCGACGGGTTCGGCTCCAATGGCTACGGCTACACCCGCCGCGAACTATAAGCGGGTCTATCAACGCCGATCTCAAGGGTCGGGATCCGATGAGAGCGATACCGAAACACTGAGTCCAAGAGAAACTGAATTCATCAAGATCGTTGGCAAATTAACAAACGGTGTCAGGTGGGGGATGGGCATCGTTCTAGAAAGGGCATGCTCGGATAGCTTGGATAAGACCTGCAATTGCCATGGTCCAGCTTTCCATCGGAAGTGCCGAATCTTTTCTTTCAAACCGCATTACCAAGTCGTTACTAAAACTCCACAGTATGGTCGCGCGGCTGATGGTTCAGTAAGTTGTCTATATTTTTTGTGCTCTAGCGTCTTTGTAAGAATGATGATTGATTTGACTCGCTCTCTTCGAAACTCAGCCTGCAGATTCTTATGAGGATTTTAGGTCTGATTTCATTCATTTCTCTATCTCACTCACCTCGCCTACTGAAAGTGGCAGTCGTCAAAAACGGCCGACTGGCCAAAACTCGTTGTACTTTTCCGCCGAAAGCTTTACTCATTTCTGGTGTTGGTGGAAGACTTTCGACAGTGCTCTTGCGCTACCGATTCGGCAAGGCAACCTTTTTCCATCAGCACAGGCTCCCTCAAAGAAATTTGGTCGGCATGTAGCAACAATCAAATATCGATTCGGGATTTCGCCTCTCTTCTTGGCACACACTTACAGGTATGAGAGCGCTCCAGATTGGGTGCGCGGGAAAAATGTCGTCCTAGGATTCAAGGCCAAGATCTCAACATTCAACGTTGATCTGCACTCACGAGCGGTTGAGACCACGATCAGAAAACCAGAAATGAAAGAACCAAAGAAGCTGATCCGAAAGGCGTTCTATCAAGCTGAGATCGAATGTCAAGACGTCGAGATTCGAGCTCTTTCGGCTGTGTTTCAAACTCCAAGGAAATCCACATATGCTAATGACATTGGGCTTACTGCAGACCAAGATGAATCAGAAACAAACTCGATATGGGAAGATTCGCTGGAGGACGAAAGCGAATTTTTGGTGAATCCTTCTGGAGAAGAAGGAGGGTTTTCGATTTACCCAAGTAAACTGGGCAAGAAGGATATGGAATGGATCGATCTTAATGACTTCTCAGACATCTTTTTCTGGCCTAACTCTAGTGGCGCTCAACAACCGAAAATCAAGATGTTCGATTGTCTGTCTTGTCCTCGGATTTCATTCCTCCGTAGACCTTCTTCAGCTACTAGTTTCCAGGTCTCACCGACCAATAACAATGCTTCTGATGGCGAAAGTATAGCCGATGGCCAGCCAATCGAGAGAACGAAATTTGGCAAAGAAAATACTCATACTTGCTTTATTGGTAAATCTGAGGGTACGTGAAATTATATTCTCTTTGCCGCTGTCCCTTTTTTTTATTACCGGTTTTTGATTTGTGGCATTTTTCAGATCCTATGAAGGTCCAAGTCGGTTTGATTGATGCACGTCTCAAGGAACTCAGCGAAAAAAAGTATCACTGTCTGGTAACTGCTGGATCATATCATCCCGTGAGTCGACGATTATTCTCATTGAAAAGCGCCTACTTGATTTGTGTAGTCTCACACACTGATTGTGTCCAATGTTCCATTTCTTTTTTCAGCAACGTCCCGAAGACACCATGATGCTGTTACAAATTGAAGCACGTATGCAAACCCTCCGGGAATTGAAAGCGACCATGCTGCGAGATAAGGGGAATGCTAACCGAAACAGCCAGTCAGAAGATCTTGGCAATCAAACCAATGGCTTAGATTGTTCTGAATCTTGGGCTGATGGAGAAAGATTTTTGTTCGAGATGGCTAAGCAAATCTCAGATGAAAATAGTGAATGGTCCAACAGGCTTCTGGTTCACAATCCTTCGATATTGATATCGAACTCGATCAGGGATATATTACTAAAATATTACTACAGTTCTTCACAGCGCCGAGCATTCATGTATCATGTGAGTGATTTTCCTTTATTACATTTCTTGTCGCCTACATCTAACTAAATCAATCCGTTTTCTTTTCTAGATATCTGCTAGAGCTGTCAAGTTCATCTTAGATCTAGCCGAACAAGAATCCTCCATTCCAGCGCCAAAGCCTAAACAGGATTTCAATAAGAGAAGATCAAGGATGCGGAGCTTTGACTACCAAAAGTATGACGGCAGATCTAACTCTGGGACAGGCTCTAAACCTCAGCCGAAATTTCCTAACGAAGACTGCCCAGTATCACCTCTGCGGGCCTGTATAGAAGAACAAGCTGAACAAGATGTACCCGACGAATTTATTCTCGATCCCGCGGATCTCGTTCTCTTGCTGCGACCTCAAATAGCCTTTCGGAGTGAGGTTGATGACATATCAACCGTAATTCTAACCGCGTTTCACGCGCAGTTTAAGAGTTTCGAAGTTTTGGATCCTTCGCACATCGACGATCCCGTGAATGCAACAGTCATGAAAAGGAACTTTGGCACTGTGAAGGGTTTCCAAATGTTCTATCCTTGCAACCCCTCTTCCTCATCGTCATTGCACCCTGCTCCAGGCGATCAAGATTTTCAGGTTCCGATTGAGGTCTTGGTTGATCTCAGACTTGAGCCTTGGGGCTTTGATCGACTCATTGGACGCTGTACCGTCAACATAGCTAATGACGCATTCAATCAACTTCGAATCAAACGCCGGTCAGCGGGCGCAGATGGAAGCTTTTCTTCAGCGACTCAGCCACACTTACAAACGTCGACCGATTTACTTCGGGTCGAAATGGCCGATGCGGTCTCGGTGCATGCCACTGCGACGCACTATCGCGCAATATACAATGTGATCACCGATTTGTGCCTGTACATCGATCCTGCCCAGAAGAAGCGGAACGCGGCATTAGAAACGATGCAATTCGCCTATGACGTCGATGATCTTGAGGGCATGGCCGATCAGATTCAGCAGCAACAGGCGCGAATCCGGTTGTATAGAAACAAGCTTGATGAGGGATACGTGGACCTCAACGTCTTTGACGAGGTTCGGATGGCTGCTCTCACCCAGTGCGAATATCAACTTTGGATCCATGCTTCAGACCTGAACTTGATGGTTGAAGCCATCCGTAGATCTCAAGCTAGCAGATTGGGTAGATCGAAGGCAGAGAAATTACCGGGCTCTCAACTCTTAGGTCACGCCAAGTCGATCACGTGGCATATGCTTGCCGACAGCGGCGAAGCAATAGCCAAACTCTCAGTTACTGATACTCGATTTGAAAGCTACACTCTCCCCGATACATCTGTCAGCAATCGACTATACGTCCAAGACATGTTGGCTTTGAACATCAGCGCAGATAGCGACCGACAGTTTGATGAAATTCTATCTCGCTATGAGCCTTATAACCCTCTCGGTCCCGCAGTAAATTCGAAGCAGTTCTTAATGGTTCTCTGGAAAACATTGCCACCTATCGCTGGTATTTCTATTGTAGAGTCGTTCCTTTTAGAAATTCACCCAATCAGGTTACAAGTCGAGCATGCGATCGGAGTCAAGGTGCACGATTACCTCTTTGCGCACAAGTCGACAAGCGTTGAAAGTGAAAATGATTCGGATGAGCCTAGCAATACTGTTGAAACTATGAATGTTCCGGTAGTCGAGGGCGAGACGAAGAAACTTAATAAGAAGCGCTCTATGCTACTCAACCTCCATCAACCCAAGAGCCGTGTGGTCACCCCAGACCTGCCAGATATCAAGCGCAGAACCGGAAACTTTTCCACACTTCCTTCGCAAGAGTCTCTGTATGATTTACATTCGGTTAGCGGGCGCTCACGCACCACTGAATCCTCTGGATTCTTGAATGCAGACTGGCGCTCATCATTCGGAGCCAACCAATCCACATCTGGCGGAACTCTTTCCAGTCGAGCCTCTCGTGCGGTATCTGTTCGCAGTAATTCTTCTGACGGGCGACGGCAGGGTGCAAGTATGGGTGCCACCCCGACGGTCTTGATGAATTGGAACAAACAGAAAACTGAGGATGCTACTGAAATGAAAAAGCGAGCTCAGCTATACAAATCATTCTTATTCATCGATGTTGCACCCACAATCCTTTGCGTTTCTTATAGTGTGAGCACCATTTTATTTTCTATTATCGTATTGCTTTTATTTTTGTTTCTTCCATCGGCTAAGTCAAACGTTCCTTCGCAGGGTCCGAAATATCCGGATATCTTCGATCTCGTAGTGAAAGTTCCCCCATTTCATTTCGAATCGAGGACGTGGTCCTACAGTGAATTTTTCGATGAAATTCGTCGGACATGTGTTTCCTCATTATTCAAACAATCTCCTTCGATCCTGGGACAGATCATCACGACTGCGAGGAAGAACAAATCAGTACCGAAACTGATGGGCCAGAAGATGGCCTCCGGGTTCAAGTTCAAAAAGAGGAACTTGTTCGAGCGTGTCAACTCGCAACCTACCAACACTCGTCATACTTCCACGAGCAGCTTATCATCTACTCTTGCTGGGACGACTATCGATCAAGGAAGCTCTGCCACCTCGCCAGACACCAATCATTCACGTTCGCCTTACTTGAGCACGGATACGTCGAGCTCATTCGAAGGCTATCACTCGCAAAGCACCCAAGATGCCACTCCTCGACCCGCTTTCTTTAACCAATCCCCCAAACAGCCCTATACATATTCCTCTAATGGAAATAGTCCAACCCTTGGTTCCTTAGATCTCGAAAGCTGTGAATCTATCGTGAGTGATTGATTACGTAGATCCGCTCATCCCCCATACCGATGCTCAAGTTAATCCGATTTTTTTTTTATCCTTTCCCTTGAAAGAACGATTTTCCTGAGCCGGATCACTCCCCACCCGCACTAGACCAGCGCTCTCGGTCCTACGGAGGAATGGGTCGGTTTCTTTTTTTCTCCAAAAAAAAAAAGCTTCGCTTCACCAAAACATTTGAGAAAAGTCGCGTCTAACTGTGAACCTTCTACTTCCTGATTGAACAGATCGACCGTCGCCATATGCCCCGCAAAGCCGACGTCAAACACACATGAGACTCTCGGCCTCCGATGCTAGCCACTTCCATCCCCACCAACCAACCCGCCAACGCCGGCAGAGCGAGGGGCCCCTCTCATCTCATCATCATCATCATCATCTCTCGTCTACTCCCGAACCTATGCCTTTCAACTCCATGTTCTTCACTGCCCCTTCTCCCTCTCATCCTTAACCGAGTCCCAATTGAACAAAAACTCGCCAGGATTACCACCATCTTCTTCTTCATTGTTCATTTCTTCACGCATCCTTCATTTGAATTTCAGATTAAAAATTTGGTTGTCACTTTTATTTCGTCGGAGGAGAGCATTGTAAGAATATTGATTCGTGTTTCTTTTTCATTCATTTTCTTTTTTTTCATTTTCTTTGCTTTTCTTTTCTCTCTTTAGAATCCTCAAGAGTTTTTGTATTAGTTTCATTTACTTATTTACTCAGATAATAGAATTTGTACAAAGATATAGATATATGCATATAATTCAGGTATTCATGATGGTTATATATACATGCACTACTTGAAGAAGTTGTTCTCATTACATATATATAGATGATAGATTAGGAGTGTTCGAAACACGAGGAGTGGTTTTTGTGAGGCACCTGAATCCATACAAAGTTTGTGATGTGATGTAAACATGTAGTTATTCTTTGTCTCCCATACCAGTGGCTATGTATTGGTTATCCACAAACAAGATGGTAGAATCACTTTGGTCACCAGGTCCATAGGTACATAAATTCAAGTATTGTCACATGTTTTTGGGATTCTATTTTCTCATGAGAAGAATGAAACAAGCTGTGGAATGTTTCGTTTTTTGCTTGTGTCTTCCAAGCTCAACAGATGAGTTGAAATGTGCATGTGTTGCAAACGTGTGCTACACTAGTCTAAGAAACACACACACACACACCCCTTTACGGATTGGTGCAGTCTTTGGGGAAGACCATCAATTTCACATCAGGTCTTTGGGTGCAAACGTGAAGGATTTAAAAACCACTGGAGAAAATTTGGATTCACTGAGCGTGGAGAGACCTGCTCATTTGGATAGTTTGCAACCCTTGACTAACACTTCTTTGCACACATCTCTGGGCTCCAATATACCAGATCTCTCTCTGTCTATAAAATTGGCAATTGATTTGCTCATTAAATGATATATATATATATATTATGATTGCTGTCATCCTCCCTTTTCCGTTTATTCAGATTTGAGTAAACTCTGACATACATGACTGTTCCTGAAAACAGGATTATCTACTGGGTTTAAGAAGGGATTTGAGATCGATCCCAATATTCAACTCTGTCAGATTCATCCTAATTGTGTGTCATTGATGATCTAGTGTACAACTGGAAAATAAGACTTATATGATTTACTATAAGAAAAATGGATTGCTGGCACTGCCAAGTGATCATATGAATGGTAATTGTAAGAGTTTGTTCAACATTTTTTAATTGACTTGCTGTGATGGGTGAACAATTTCGAGCTGTCCCCTTTTTGATTTTACATAAAGAATACTTCCGATGCGCTTTTTACAAAAAGGACAAGGCTTGTCGACTTTAACTGTTTTACAGTCCATACTCAGGTGATCCATGATGCAACCTTCATGAAAGTAATGGTGGCAGGGTGCTAACTTGACTACTGTATCTTCAGTCGAAAAGCCATTGGGACAAATTATGCATTGTGCTTGCTTAGAACCCCCCTCATTTTTCTCACCAGTCTCACCGAGTCCTTCGGGTTCTTCCAAGCGGAGTTGCTTTCCTCGGCTTTCTGGTCTGAAAACAGTGCTAGAAGCTGATGTTGGTCGGCAATGATCAAATCGGTTTCGTACGCAATGATCTAATTTATCTCACGTACTCCTCGATTGGACCGGTCCTCCTATAAATTACAGTGTCCATCTTCAATTCTTCTTGTGGATTTTCGCCAGAAGGTTTTGGCCTAGGGAGGATCAATGGTGAGTCTAGATAAATGAAAACCTTACAGCTAGACCATGATTCATCTTACCTGAATGACCCCTTGATAAATTTGCATATCTTTCGGGTCCCCTTGAGATCCTTGCGGGCTGATAAAAGTCCTTGAACGCCCAATAGAAGTTGAGCAAAAATTCCCTGTAAATTTTTTGAAAATCAAGTCATGGATCAGGGCACCCATTGAAATCAGCGGCAGGTGGCACGAGTAGTCTCGAATACTTGTCCTACCAATGAGGCTAAAGTATAAAGGCGCATGATATGTTGATTTCTAACGCATTTATTGATGGAAACACGGGATGAAAGGTGACCAGGACTGCGAGCTTGCACGTATCTCGTCTGTAGATCAATTGGAATGATTGTATCCTCGGATGGCTTCTGTTTTCAGTAAGGGAGAGACAGAATGTTAACCACCAGTTAGGCCTTGGAAGTGTGGGGCTTTAATCCCGAGATCGAACAACTAACCTTTGCTTGTAGGCGGGAAAAAAATTAGTCTTGGTTTTCGCTGACCTTATATTATCTCGTGAATCACAGCACTCAAGTGTAACCTCAAGCCGGCGACGGGCTTTAAAAAGTGAACACAATCAATCATTCGTGCGTGTCCAGTCGGCTGCCAATCGACGCTGTGAATCACTAAACACTTACTCCGGCCCACTGCCAGTCAATAAGGTCCATACAGCGTGGTTCATGCTTTCTTCACTACTTGCTCATGAGCATATCTACGCATTTCCTGATACAGTTTTCTCGCTTCCGGCACTATGGAGGAGGTTTCAGATCATTCAGACGCATGGTTGTGGGGGCCAAGATTGGACTTGAGAATTTCAAATCCAATCTTCGGAGCGGAGAAAATATTGAGGCCTCCGTCTGAGTCATGACTGCAGCAGAACCCTTTTCAAAAATCGTTAATTGCCATGTTATCTCTTTTGATAATTTACGGCTGGAAAATGTGGAGCAGGCAGGAAACACAGAGGGGCGAACTGTTTCTTTCTCAGCGGGATGTGATGAGGAGTGTTGGAAGCATACATTCCTCGGGAGCTCTAGTGATAGCTAATAGTGCACTTTTCCTTCAGGGCTGAATCGCTACTCAAGATTCTTCGAGCAAGGCATCAGAACTTCATCGCAATTTCGAAATGCCTTGCACAGCTGATTTTCGTAGATCCGCAACATCAATTGAATGCGAAACTTACGCGAATTGAACCTGCAGAGAGAAATCCTTATGTATCACCTCATGCTTTGCATTTCCTGCACGTTCCTGGTCTCAGTTTACCTTTTTCCAGTTGAACAAACTTGTCGCAGATGGATAACACAGCTCGACAAGCCCATAATTTGCTGACCAGAGTTGTCTGAATTGTAAAAGCTCCTTAATTTTTTTTTGGAACCCAAGCTTGGTCAAACTTTGTTTTACTCCTCAGTTCACTTTCTCCTTTGATCATCAATTTTGTGTTTCCTGTCATTTTATTCACCGCACATCTGAGTGTTTTCAACTCCATTTTTTCACTGCTGTGTTGTCTTTTATCCAAACCTCTGACTATGCTTCTGTCTCATAAGTTCTGTTGGTTGTGTTGTCTTGTGTGATTTTTTTTACATAACACTCCTGTCTCCTAAATTGTGTATACCTTTGAGCATTAAGATGAATCTATAGGCAGTGGACAAATCAGATATCATACAAACTAAGATTTTCAGCTGTAGCAAAGCATTCTCAGTTACAAGACAATGGTTGAACTTATATAATAATTGAACCCAAATCACCCTTTTTTGGGTTATTCTCACTTTTGCACTTTTTCAAGGGTTGTTTTTTTAATGCAATATGCACAGGTGCACACACTGTTGAGTTTTCAACTTCTCTGGCTACTCCTCCCCAAATCACTCCCTCTTTTTACTCACTTTTTCTCCTCTTATCTTTCTTTAATCATCTTGATCTGGACTGAATTATATTCAATCACAGCTGTTTTCTGTCTTGAATCTTATGCTCTATTGTAGTCTAATTAGAACTCATCATGGCAATTTTCAGACAACTCTAGTCTTATTGATTGATTTCCTTCTTTTTCCATTTCACTATTTGATTCCTTAAAAACTGATTGATAAGAATTAACGCCTCTTATTCATTTGTGGTTGTGTGTTTGTTTTTTCATGATTAATTTGCTAGCTTTTCTAAAAGAGACTGAGAAGAATTGTCCGGCTGTTTCTTCCATGAACTCATTCATTCCTTCCTCTCAGTTTTTATTCAAATTCATCTTTTATTCAATTTCCCTCAACCACATTTTTAACCTTTTGTATTTAGTCTATTTAAAACAGGCTAACTACAAGAAATAAAATTCATTGGTTCACACACTCCTTTTCCTAGAGCCTCTCCCAAAAAAGATACTCTCCTTTTTTGGCCCTCAATCTCTTGCGCGCTGAGTTCAGAATTTCAACACACACCTTGAAATGAAGTGTGAAGAATGGTGAATTCCAATCTTAAAGTTAAGGGATATGGACAGGTTCAAATGCCCTTGAGATTGGGATTTCCAAATGCAGCAGTGGACAGCTACACTATGCTGCACCATTTTCCAAAATAGTGTTAGTGTATCAGAACTTTTTTCTGCCCAAATTGTAAAGTGTTATTTGACCTTTGAGCCGGTTGCTGTATTCTGCTGTGCTACAAGGTGCTAACCAGTGCTGTAGTGCAGCATATTTTGGGCCTGTCCAGGTAGCATTACTTGAGTGCATATGGGGCCAAATTCCACTATGTTCCACTCAACAATAACATAATTCCACTACACCATGATATGCTAACACTACTGTTAGTGTAGATGGACACACCAACAAAATTGTGTAAGACATTAACATGGGTTTCTCTTTTTTGAGGCTTAAACCTGCCAATGGTGGGTCACTATGCTAAAAAACCACCTAGTGGTAGCATTAGAACCCCCCCCCCCCCAAAAAAAAAAAAAAAAAAACACCTCCAATGCTGTGGTGTTAGTGGCGCTAATACTATGCTGTGTTGCACCATTTTTTGCGGAAAACCCTGCTGAAAAGGGGTGCAACACTGCATAGTGGACACATAATTTACCCCGTGACTGTCAGCAATAGTGTGATACTGCTAACAGCTAATGGAAAATGGCTGTAGTGTTAGTGGTATTCCGCTGAAATAACTGAGCTGACACTAAATTCAGTATAGCTTAGAGATGGCCCTGGTGCATCCGGATATCCAGCTGCTTTTTCCGGGGAAACATCCATCCACAGCTGCTGGCAGGTATCCCCCGCCTTAGCAGGTATCTTTGGATACCCACCCTTTAAAGGGCCTACAAGGCAATGGCTGGAAGGGTTTCCTTCCAGTCAGCAAGGTACATCCCTTGTTGACTGGAAGGGTTTCCTTCCAGTCAGCAAGGTACATCCCTTGTTGACTGGAAGGGTTTCCTTCCAGTCAGCAAGGTACATCCCTTGTTGACTGGAAGGGTTTCCTTCCAGTCAGCAAGGTACATCCCTTGTTGACTGGAAGGGTTTCCTTCCAGTCAGCAAGGTACATCCCTTGTTGACTGGAAGGGTTTCCTTCCAGTCAGCAAGGTACATCCCTTGTTGACTGGAAGGGTTTCCTTCCAGTCAGCAAGGTACATCCCTTGTTGACTGGAAGGGTTTCCTTCCAGTCAGCAAGGTACATCCCTTGTTGACTGGAAGGGTTTCCTTCCAGTCAGCAAGGTAAATCCCTTGTTGACTGGAAGGGTTTCCTTCCAGTTGGCGAGGATGTACCTCTCCGGCTGGAAGGAAACCTTTCCAGCCGCCCATTGGCCTTGGGTATCCCTGGGGAAACCCGGATATCCCCCAGATTTGGGGGGGGGGAATGGCCATCTGCAGCCAAATATGCACCCCCTGGCGGGTATCCATTGGCGCTGGGGGGTATTTGCCAGTGGATAGCGGGTATCTGCAACGGATACCCCATGACCATCTCTAGTGTAGCTGACCCACTTTTGCACCTGCGTTCCAAATTTCACAATTCCAAATCCAAATTTGACAGGTTCAAATGGTTGAACAGGCTTTCCATAATATGACTCTTGTGGTCAGTTTGAAATTTTTTCAAATATAATTGGTAATGTAATCAACAAACCAGTCATGAGTGACTTTTTAACAAAATAAATAGGAGCCTGTGTCGTCTATGATGCAGGTTTACAAATTGACAATTATAAAAATGTTGAAACACTTTCAGAGTATTTTGGAGCTATTCCCTAATAATTTCATTGGATTTTTAATTTTCAATAGATTGGCACAACCAACTTGAAAATGTATTTCAGATTTTTATTTACCACTTATAACCCAAAGTAGGTGAAAATTCTTCTGGTAAAATGATGAAGAATTAAAAGTAAATTGAAAATAAAAGGGGATTGATCAATGCACAGACACATCTCCTTTTTTGAGGGGAGTGGTACCCCTTTTCTTAGGGAAGACCATCCCAAAACCCAAAGAAAATGGTATGTGTTGAAACTTTGCCCATATAGCACCTAGCATGGAGGATTTTTGAAAGAAGATTTTTAACAACAAAGTCAATTGTTTGAATGGCTCAAAGGGGAGGAAAGAGAGGTAAAGGACCAATGATTTGAGATTGCTTGTAACAGGCTGATTTAAGTAGACTATGTACAAGCTGATCAAAATGCAGTTTAGTTTTTCAATGAATGAAAAAATGTGCTCAAAATTGCAATAAAATTATTATGAAAACAGAGTAATCCCATAAATGAAAAAAGAATTGCACATACACACAAGAAGATAAGAGACAAGAGGAAAGTCTGGGGTTCTCAGACTACATGGAATTGAATCAGGCATACATGACCTGCAAGAAATCAGACTATACTGCAGAGGGGAATCAAGTTGTAAATGTAGATACTTCAAATTTTCAACAGTCCAACAGATTTACAACAAGCATGATAGAAATTTTGTTTGAGATGAGATTTGGGATTAGTAATACATGCAAATTTCAACAGTGTGCTTGGCTGCATAACCTCACTGAATCAAAGCAATGCTAACACTAATCAGACTACTATATATTTGCTCCCAGCTAGTGTGAATACATCATTTTTTGTCACCAAAAGTCAACACTGCTAATGTTACACTAAAGCACCAGTGGTCTGAGGCAAGGCCCACTACATGGCTATTTAGTTTAGCAGCCCATCTCTGATCAAATAGGCCATCTTTCTAAATCAAGGGTGTTTGAATAAAAGACCCTCAAGCTACGTTTTCCCTCAAAAAGAGGGAGAAACTGAACAGGTAGGACTTTCCAAGAAGCTTGGAAGATCATAGACCTGTACCAGATCTTTTGGAGGAATCCTATCAAACAAGCTGGGCCATGCACCATTTTTTTTGTAGAGATATCTCCCTTCAACTTTCACTCTGAATTCTATATATACAGGTTTTCCTTTTTTTCAAAAAAAAAAACAACTGTCCCACATTTTTTTTTCAAATTAAGTACAGCCATTCCTAGAAAGGTTGTGGTTTGCAAGTCAGACTTTTTTCTTTTTTCTTTTCTTTTTTTTCTTTCTCTTTTTTAGG